ATGCTGCCCGACGCGTGCGCGTGGACGGACATGCAGCCCGCCTCCCCCCGCGGGCCCGCGGCGGGGGAGCCCGCGGGCACCCGGCCGTCCGACGAGGCGGGGCGCCCCCCGCAGCCTCGGCTCGGTACGACGGCGGCGTCGACGACGACGACGACGACGACGACGACGGCGGAGGCCTCAGCGGTAGTCGCCGCGGGGGAATCCTTACTGTGAAGGCCTTGCGGCCGGTGCCGCCGACCCAGAAGGGCGACGGCGACGACCACGACGACAACGACGGCGACGAGCTGATGGCCCTGCCACAGGCACGGGACATGTGGCGCCCCTCGAGGTTGAGCAGAATTTTCATCTCTATCCCTACTAGCTCAGTTTGTTGTTGGCTGCTCGCTGGCTACAACTCTCATTCGGGTCAATAGTTTGGAGTCCCAAGATCGCATCTGTCTCAGGCCCGAGGCTAGCCTTGCCCTGTACATCGACGACTCTGACCTCAGCGCGGTCGGCAGTTTCCAAGGCTTTGTTGACGCTTTAGCGGATGGGGCCCCGCAGTTCCTGAGGGCTATCGAGGAAGGTATCGGTGGCAAGGTGGCGCAAGATAAATCGAGCCTCGTTTGTTCCTCTAGGGCCTTGGGCTTGGCCATCCAGAAATCACGGGGCCCCTCTCGGACTGCTCGGTCAATATTGGGATTGATGACAGCGTGGGTAAAAGCTTTCGGGTCCAGGGTCGATCCAAAAAGCTCAAGGTTAGACTCACTCTCTCCAAGAAGCTCAAGGTTAGAACTCGCCGGCTGGGCTGGCCCACAACGGAGGTCACCAGGAAGGACGCAATTACAACGTGGCTACCAAAGGTGTAAGCCATGGCCAGGATACGGCAACGGGTGCTACACGCTCGTTTTGCCACGACACATGCACATGAATTGGGGAGCCGCGTGCGACGGAACACGGCTCTGCAACTCGGGAGGGGTAATCCATGACCGCAACGGGGAGCACAACAATAAACGGGACCATTAACGGAACGTGGGGTACACGCATTCTTGACGTTATTTTGGAATTGCATGTGTTGCGGTGCAGTGCTACGGTTCTGCCGGGAGGGACCGCTCCCTAGAACCGGTCGCCGAGGTTCTCCCTCGAGGCCGTCAACGACGGCAACCGGCTCTACCCCCTCACTCTCTTCAAGCAGAGGGCCTCACGAGTGGCCAACCTTCGTTCTGTTTTAGGGAACCGCCGTACCCTGAGAGTTTTCACTACAGGATCCCTGCCAGGCCTACTGTACGGCAGTGAGGTTCGCGGAGTTGCCGTCAACGAGTTGCTTTGCAATCGTCGTGCTGCTTCCAAGACTGTCAAACCGTCTGCGGGAGCACGCTCCTTCACAGTTTTGGCCCACATTATCGGGGACCCTGCCTGGATCGGTGTTGTTGCCCCGGTTCTCCGCTGGCACAAGGAAGTTTTGCTTACGCAAGTCAGGGCTTTTGAAGGCTCGCTGTCTTTCAAGGAGCTTCGGTCCTCATTGCAATGAGCTTCTAGTCGCGACGCGCAAGTCGCTAGGGAGGATCTCCTGGTCGATGAGGTACTCTGCCACTGTCGCTACTGACAGGGGACCGAGCTTTCCCTCACCTCATCTCCCCCCAGCTCATGAAACGCCACATGAAGCAGGCCGTCCTTCGGGCTCATGAATGGGATGCTGGTAGCAAATGGGGTGTTCAATGTCGTCTGTGCTTCGATGGTATTGAGAAAGCTATTCGCAGTCGGCGTGTCTCGGCCCTGGAGCAAGGATGCATCAGAACCCCACTTGCTGACGCCATCTGCACACGCCATCGAGTCAAGGAAGCGGGCTACTCCCTAGATCCCGTCTGCCCAAAGTGTGGTCTTGCCCCTGACACGATCCACCATCACTTGTGGGTTTGCAAGAGTCCCGAGGTTGCCGAGTTCCGTTTGAGTTAATAGAGCAGGAAACTATCAATCGGGGTTTCGCCGAACCCGACCAGGTCTGTTTTTGCTCTGGATATTGTGCGCACCCTGGGGACTACTTCCCTAAGCCTGCGGCTGAGGCGACAGCCACATATTGGGTTCGGGACGAGTTCCCCCAGGATTTCGTTCAGTTTACTTTCCACCGTAACATCGTCACGGATGGCAACGGGTCCGTGCATGTTGTCCGCTAGCACAGCAGAGCAGGCTGGTGTTTCGCATCTGCAGATGACGAGGGTGAGTTTCAGGCTATGATATATGGCCCTGTCCCGCCGCAGTACCCTCAGACTGCTCCCGCAGGAGAGTTTGCTGCTTTCTGTCAGGTTGTTCTCTTCGCTAGCGAGCCCGCTCATGCTCAGCGGTTCAATGGCCATTTGTCCCTTTCCTAGGGTTGGGCAGCTCTTGCCCACACATTGCTACTCGGGATTCGCCCCCCCCCCCCGCTGCTACATGATACTCGCAAGACCCGGCAATTGTGCAAGGTCAAAGCCCACCGTTCTGTAGACGAGGGTGGGCTGAGTTAGGAGCTAAGAGAGGGTCTGCTGGCGAGGGTTACCTTGGGCACCCAGCCTCCTCTCCTGAACTCTTCGCGCGCCTTAGTTATGAGATCAGCTCGCACGCGCAGTCGCTCTTCTGGGAGTTAAGCTTCTTCCAGTGTGTGGCCGCGCCTGGACTTGGAAGGAGCTGAGTTCGCGAAGCCACCTCGCGACAGGCAGGGGAGCCGCCCGAGATGTCAGCGGCAGGGCATCCAGCTTTCTCCGCTTGGTTCGGAATCATATTTTTGGACTTTCTCGCAGTGTGGTTAGGTCAACAGTTGTTCAACGCATGACATCCCACCTGCTGCGCCTGTCGGCAGTTTGTCTGCCTCACTTTCACATGTGGCTTTGGCAGGAAACTGGGCCTGCTGCATCACGCTGAGCTCTGACAATGTTGAGTTTGTTGTCTGCCTTGTGCGCTAATGCTATTCCTCTCATTGCAGGATCGCTAGTCTAGGTCAGACGTGTCAAGGCCCGACTGGGGCCACTCGCTATGGCAACCGGAGCCCGATCTGCAAGGGGCGCCATCCTGTCATGGGTGGAGTTCATTTAAAGCAAGGGCCATGGCCGGTGTTTTCTATCGCGCCAGCGCCCATTATGGAGGGCGCGGGGCCTGATGTCGTCGTGGAGTCTGTCGTTGGAGGTGGAGCGTCCGCGATCGATTCTGGCAGTGGCGATTTTGTCTCTGAGCCTCCTGTTGCCAGTCTTCAGCCGCCGGCTGCCCCTACATCGTTCGACGAAGAGCTCGAGGGCGACGAGGCAGCTGCGAATTTGTTGTTCGGCAGCCCTGTGCACCAAGGTGATGGTGGGGGGGGGGACGTCGTCGTTGAGGAGTCTGGCGTTGGCGGGGTGGGGGTCTGCGAGGGCCTCTAGCAGGGGCAATTTTACCCGTGAGCTCCCTGCCGCTGGCCTTCAGCCACCATCTGCTGCTACTCCACCCGAGGACGAGCTCGCAGGTGTGGGTGCAGCGCGCAAGTTTTTGCTCGACAGCCCTGTGCGCCAAGTTCAGGGTGGAGGGCCTGTCGTCGTTGAGTCGGTCGTTGGGGGGTTTGGCGGTGGAGGTGGTACTCTATCTGCTTGCGCTCCCTCTGGAAACGCATCAGGCTCACTGCCTGGAGTACCGTTGCGCGTGGCAGCGGCCGCCTCCTCCGTCGACATTGAATTCGGAGGTGAGGAGGTGGCCGCGTTTGCCCCTGTCTCTGATGACCCATCGGGCCATCTTTCAGGCGCATTCTTGGCGCGAGTTGGCTTGTTCTCTCGTGAGGCGGACTCACCTGGGGCGGCCGTCGCAGCCCCCAGCGTGGCTGGTGCATCTTGTGCACTTCAGGCCCCTTGTCCCACTGCCCCTTTCTCCTCCTCCGCCTCTGCGAACACGCCTGCGATTCAGGCGGTGGAGATTGTTTCTTTTGCGGAGGAGGAGACCGGATCCGACAGTTGTTCGTCTGGACCCGATTAAGTTCTAGGCTTCCTAGATGGGGTCGGAGTAGATAGGGTCGGAGGATCGAGCCGCATCGCCGATGCATCTACGATGCGGCTCGATGCGGAGCCCGATTTGCTTCACGCCGACGTCGCCGATGTACCGCCGACGTTGACGATGCATCGCTGGTGCATCGCCGATGCATTGCGGATGTATCGCCGATGCATCGCCGATGTATTGGCGATGCGGCGCGATCTTCCGACCCCATCTATTCCGACCCCATCTAGGTGGCCTCTATAAGTGGCAGTAAGTTTCATGTTGATGCCAGAAACATCTTGGCCTAATTTAGGCCCCTGGTTAAACGTATGGGTGTTTTCATTTTACTCGTCTGCAAAAGCGATGTCCCCTATCCCTTATGTGTGGCCCCCCTAAAATTAGGTCCCCTCCCGGTGCTTTCATTATTTATCAGAAGATCGACTGCCCTCCCTGCTCATGTTGATCCGGGTTTGCTGTCGGCGTCACCGCGGAAGTCCATTTGCCCACTAGCGGCCGCTGTCGGTTTAGGGACATATTTGCTATAGGGCATCGCCCCCATTTTTTCTGTACCCATTCTGGGCGCCCTGTTCGGTTTGAACTGTCTGGGGTCTGAGCTGGTCGAGCGCTGGTTCCGGCCAGCAGGAAGGGGTGGCGTGCAGGTAGGTTCGAGGCGTTGGGTTCGGGAAAGTTTTACGGCCCGGGACCGTTTAAACGGATCGCGGGGTGAAAAATTACACCGTTTGGATCCCAGGAAAGGTCTGGGGAGATTCCCCCCCATATTCACGGATTTTCTCGGGACCCGTCCAGGTCAGACCCCCTGGCCGCCTCCAAAGGTGGGGTGCTTCTAGTCGGCGGCGAAGTCCGAGCCCTACCCTCGCCGATCAACGATTCGGGGAATTTGATGGGCGGCGGGGGTAGGGTTCAGAGCTTGTCGAGCACGTGGCGAAATCCGAGGCTGAACCACCGCCTCGCATCGATTCAGGAGGATCGATGGTTGGTGGGGGTAGGGCTCGGATGTCGCCACCTATCCAGACCTCCCACATAGGGTCCGAATAGATGGGGTCGGAGAGTCGCTCCGCATCGCCGATGCATCGGCGATGCGGCCCCAGGGACATCACATATTGATCCAGCTCGGATAATGCCGCAGGAAGATGGTGTCTAGGGCTCTGATCGTGTTTTTTGTTGGGGTGACGCATTTGTTTCACAGCGTCGGATCTCGAGGAGGTGCCGACACCGTTGCCCTTCTTTCGTTTTCACCTTTTAGGGCCTCCTGGGAGGCCATCGTCGCCACGGCTGGATTCGCCTCGAAGTTCTGGTCAGAACACGCCCCGGGAGAGGTCGGGGGAGTAGCGGTATCTGGAGTTGCTGGTTTCCTCGGGGTGGCTCTCTACGAAGGCGGAGGGCTTCTTGCAGAGCGGGGGCCTGCTCCGAAATACCCGGAGGCGCTCATGAGAGGGTTTCTCAGAGGCTTGGAGGGCCTCTGGCCTCCGTGAGAGTCCCCCTTGCATTCTTTGATCGGCGGCGAAATCCGAACCCTATCCACGCCGATCAACTATTCGGGCACCTCGATGGGTGACGGGGATAGGGCTCGGAACTCGAAAATTGAACCCTACCCACCGCCTCGCATCGATTCGTGACAGAATCGATGGTTTGTGGGGTAGTGCGCGGATGTCACCACCTATCAGAAAACCCGCCGTCTTCCTAATCAAGCAGGCCGCCCCCCCCTGCTACACCCCCTTTTTTGCACGTCGTCAGTGAACTCGACCCGACGTCCAGATTATCAAATTCCCGGTATCCCTGATTCTCCACCGTCCGCCTTTTCCGACCAGCAGGTGGGCTGATTTAGGGATGTTCGAGGGGCACAAACCGTATGAGCGTAGAATGTTTGCAGCTCCGCGCGGATTTCTTGGGTCTGCGCTGGACCCCCCTTCCTGGCACGCGGAGCGCGCCAAGGGCGGCGCCAGAGGCGCCGCCAGGGGTGTCCAGTGCCCATCCAAGGAATCCACGCGGAGCTGCAACTTATTGTGTTCATGCAGGTTTTTCTTGTGTCCCTGAAGAAGATCACTGAATGAGACACCTGCTTGTCAGAAGTTGAAGAAGGTGGAGAGTCAGGAATCCGACGACGCATTTTGTGCAGCCCGCGTTGTTTGCCAATGATATTTCGACACCAGGGGCCGTTCTCGGACCCCAGGACCATCGCATCTGGGACGAAAGAGTAGACCAGGGAAGCGGTCCAGACCTCCAGGGCTGCGGGTTCTAACGGTCACATCGGCGGGTGTCAGGTTGGGAAGGTTTCGGGCTGCGCACAGGCAGTCCCCCACAGGCTTCCCGAGTATAGTCCAGGGATCGGTCTCGACAACTTGGCGCCCCCTTCGACAGCGCCCCCCAAGCGTTCCGCGCCCCAATGGTTGAGGTGACGAGAACGCCCTGGACCACACACTCTGGCCCGAGGCAGAGATTTATCGGGGTCGATCTACGGGGGACTTCGGCAGGCGGTGGATCTGATTTGTTCGTGCCCTGATGGGGGAACAGATACATCCGTGTCCACCACCCGCCGAGGTCCCCGAAGATCGATCCCCCCAGCGACGGCGACGGATAATCCCCGCCTCGCATCTGAGGGCCTGCCGAGGCTACCCGAGGGGGCCAGCGGGGACTACCTTGGGGGACGGTCTGTGCGCAACCAGAGGCTTTTCACCGCCCAGAGGGCCGACATCCCAGGACCCGACGGAGGTTGCGGTGGCTCGGGCTCGCCGGGAGGTGGGGGGACTAGAAGATTGGCTCCCCAGGGGCTGGAAACATCATTAGTTACAAAGTCTGGCTTCGGAGTCTCCCTCTCGAGGAGGGACGGACCAAACATATGACGACAGGCCTTCGGAGGTCCGCGCGGATTTCTTGGGTCGGCGTTGGACCTTACCCCTCGTGCCAAAATAATACACGTACACTCTTGAAAGTGTTTTTGACTATTTCCGATAGCGGTCGTTCCCAGGGAGGGGGGGGGAGGGGGCGGGTAATGGTAACGTTTGGGCGGGGTGGGGCACGTCCGGGCGGGGGAGCGCATTGCGATCGCCAAAGTACGCACGCGTACACTAGCATGTGGGGCGTCCAGCCCCCCCCCTCCTGCGTACGATCGTTACCGTGACCAGGGGGCGAGGGGTTTGGCTTGGGCGACGGCCGTTACGCGCCAGAGGATAAATGTCAGCCTCCTCCCGTCAGGTGAGCCCGTGGCGTCAGAGTCCCCCTTGTCGCCCTCCTCCCTTCACTTGGCGGCGCCTCCCGCGCCCGCTCCTGGCGAGCTCCGAGCACCAGGGGAGGGGGTCCAGCGTTGACTCACGAAGTCTGCGCGGGCCTCCGAAGGCGGATGGCTCTGCAGTCGGTTTTTTGTTATGTTACTCGTCCGCTAGCACCCGGGCTTCCCCTTCCTGCTCCTCCCCCTCCTACTCATCAGCCTCATCCTTGCCCTCCTCTTCCTCGCTCTCCGCTTCGACCTTCACCTCCGCGTCTTCCTCTTTCTTGCTACTCCTCGAACTCCTGCGCGTACTCCTCATCGTTCCTCTCGCCGCACCCCCAGAGATCCGACGTATTGTTTTTTACAGGGGCCCCGAACATCCCAACACTTTCCCCGGGACTGTTTTTTTACCAAGAGTCGTGGTTCGACGGTTCTATGGGGCCGAATACGAAGGAAGAACGCCCAGATCGAAAAATATATCGTCGGAGATTTGGGATTCTGGGCGGTCGATCTTCGAGGCATTCGGCAGGCGGTGGATATGGATAATTATACTTGCCCACAGGGCCCAGACTTATTCCACATCGACAAACTACCGTACTGAATGTTTCACTACGTCGAATGTCTGGGCTTGCCCCGCAGACCTTGTTTTTATTCGTTGGACCCGTAGGTTCCATTACGTGGGGTCGCCCCCCCTCCACCCCCGTTCCCGTGACGGTATCGAGCGTACGCGGGTGGGGGGGGTGCGGCCTGGCGCGGTGCTCACAGGCATGCTGTGGTGTTGGCAGGCATGTCTTATCTGGTGCTCGCAAGCATGTTGTGGCGCTCGCAGGCCCGACCCCCTCCTCTCCACCTAGACGGACACTGCGAGGTGGGGTGGGGTGGGGTCCCGAGGAGACGGGGTCGACGTCTGGCGGCGCCAGAGGCAGCCCCGAGGCGAGCGCGAGCTCGCGGAGGAGGAGGTCCAAAAGGCTCGGGCGTTCCGGAATGGGAGGGGCGATTCATGGGAGGGCGAAGAGAGGTGCACGTTTGGTGCTCTGAGGGCGCCCTGAAGGGGCGAGCCCAAAAGGAGGCGCGAAATGTGCAAGTGCCCCTTTCCCAACCCAAACCCAGGCATCTCACGTCTTGAGCTTCCCCATGCGGGGCCCCTGGAGGTCTGGAGCTTCTTCCAAGGAATGGTTTCTCCTCCGTAGCTTTTGCTGACGGCCTCGGGGCCTGGCGAGGGCCCCTGGAGGCCGAAAGTTGCGATAAACCTCCGCCTCGAGCTTCTCGACGTGTTGGGAGGTCCGGGCATCTGCTCGCCCCCCAACCAGCCGGCGCCCGAGGAGGCCCCGGGCTGGCGGCCGCGGCGGGAGCGCCCGCCGCAGCGCCGCCGCCGAGCAGCGGGGCGCGGCGCCGGCCCTGAGCGCCCAGGAGGCGCTCGGGGCCCCCCAAAGCAGGGCACTGCAAGCCCGGACTCCACGAGGAGTCACCCCAGCCACGCCTCCTGATGTCAGCTCCGGACTTGCGAAGGAAGTCGGAGATAGTGAAGTCGGAGAAAGTTAGAGCCCGTGAGGGCCCCCAGAGCCAAGAAACTGCAGAGACTTGGAGCCAGCTGAAAGTCTGAGGTGGCCCAGCATGGGATCCGGCCAGCAAGGAGTGCGGGGGTAGGTTCGCGGTGTTGAGTTCGAGAAGATGTCTTGCCGTTTCTTGCGTTTCTGGAGCCGTTTTTCAGCCCTGGGACCGTCATCGACGGATCCAGAGCAAAATTACACCAGATGGATCCTGGGAGGGGTCCAGGGACCGATTTTGAGGGGATGGGGGTGCGTGGGCAGTAATGACTTAGTGGGTTTTGGTGCGTCGGTCTCATCGATCCGTCGGTCTCATCGATCCACATCGTTTGTTGCTCTGCAGTCATCCGGGCTCGAAGGACTAGGGCCTTGAATGCAGTCGGTGATCGGGGTCATTCTGGCCACTCTGACATCATCCTGCGTGACGCCGCCGAGACGCAGTGGTCCAGCGGCCCCAGTGTGCCGCCCGAGGGTTTCGCTCCGTTTACCGCCCCTGCTGCGCCCGCGGCGAAGGTTGAAGTGTCGTGTCCCCCGACCGAACTCGACCCCGAGGTGATCGAGGAGGTCGCCCGTCGCATTCGGTCCGAGACGTGTGTGTGTGTGGGCGATGAGTTGCGACATGCTCGAACGGGACGCGAGGTTCATCGTCGTCAGTCTGTGTGTTGGACATCTCACTGTGGTGTTCAGCGCGGGTGGCTTGCAGTGGCCCTGCAGCAGGCGCCACGGCACGCGTCGCGCGCCGACCACCGCGGGTCGGGGACAGGAAGGCTTCTTTCGGTGCTGGAGTGAGCGGATATAGTTTGGTGTCAGGACGCATCCTGGCTATCAACTATCCCGAGGAGGACTTGTGGCACGAGCGGGTTATGTCGGGTCCTGGGCTTCGCGGCGGAGACGGGTGCATTCGCTCGTTGATGGTCGCCACGCCCGACGGGGACACGTACCAGGAGGATCTATCGATGGGGGCTGGCGAAGGCAAGAGGCTCGCGGTTCTGGACCAGGCCGGGGCCTGCCCTCGCCAGCTGCGAAGCAAGTTCTACACGTTTGCGGATGGCGCCTATCCGGACGATGATCGTGTCCGCTATGAGGCCCAGTCGGTCGTGGCAAGGATGCGATCCGCGGGACAGGAGCCCCCCGCCTTCTCGCATTTCGTCAACTCGGAGGGCGAGCTGGCTCCGCTGCCTGGAGTGGGCCGACGCCTGCGGCGACGAGGCGCCCCCGCCGTCGCTGCGGCCGATGAGCCGCCTCAGCCTCGGCGCGTCTATTGGCAGCGAGGAGATGGTCAGGCGCATGCTCGGGGCGATCGATGCTTACCCGGCGGGGCGCGGGTTTCCACCCTGGCGCGCGGCCGCCGTCTACGGGAGCGAGACCAACTACAGCGACGCCATCGCACCCGCCCGGCGGAAACGGGGCAGCAACAGGCTGAAGGATCAGCACGATATCGAGAGCACTCGGACCCGCCAGCTGCGGCCTGCGGCGGAGGGCGCTGTCGCCGGCGCCGGCCAGGGAGCTGCCGACGGCGGCCGACGCCGCGGAGGTGGCGACGCAGGTCGGGGCGATGGAGACGCCGGGCGCGGCTCTGGAGCCCCTAAGGACGGCTGAAACTGGCGACGGACTGTGGACAGGCCCTCCACGCCACGGTCTGCTGAAGGTGCAGGATTTTCGGGCGCCTGGTCGCCCTCGTCGAGCAGTTTCCGATCCCAACACCTCGGCGCGAGGCTGCGCCTGCTGCTGGCGGGCGACGCCATGGGCGCCACCGTGCTCGGGGCCGCGTGCGCCAGCTCGCCCGTCGGCCGCCTGGCGTTCGGCGTCGGCCTGGCCACGCCGGTTTGAGCGACGGCGTTACTGCGGGGGAGGCGCATCCCCAGCTGGGTGACAACCTGACTCACCTGCGGGCGCTGGCGGAGCTTCAGGCGCGCGATGACTTTCACGAGCCGCCAGAAGTGGCCCTCCGGGAGCTGCTCTGTGAGAAGGCGTCTGGCTACAGGATGGACGCTGCTTCGACTGCGCTCTCGCCGTGCCGGCGCGGTCGGGCCCTCCTGCCCGAGGAGAGGACCGGCGCCCTGAACGTCTCGGACTTGGTGGGGGGCCGCGGCCGACGCTATCTGGAGGGCAGAGGCGAGCGCATGCTGGACCCGACTGCCAGCGACAGTTTCGATGGCGGTGCTGAGCGACGCCGCGTCGACCCCCAGCTCGAGCGCCAGCGCGACCTCGAGGCCAGGGGCATGCTGGTCTTCGTCGGATGGGCGCGCGAGCGAACTGGTCTATCTTTCGTTCGCAAGAAGAACAGGGAGCTTCGGCTCACCCTCGACGCGCGGCGGACCAGCGGGCAGTTCGCCACCCCGCCGCGGGTCGACCTCTTGACGGCTGAGGGACTCGGCCGGATTGAAGTGGAGCTTCCCGACTGTCAGGATTTCGCTTTGCTCTACTGCGGGACAGCAGACGCGCAGGGCGCTTTCCACAGGATGGAACCCGTTCTCGGCGCAGGACCTCGACGAGGAGGTGGCCGGCCAGGTCTTGGAGCGCGCCGAGCTGCTGCGCGACCGAGGACAGCCGCTCGCCCTCACCCTGCGCGGCTCCCAGGCCGCGAGCACCTACGTCGACAACATTGGCGTCTTCGGGTCCGACGGCGACATGTGGCGCCCGCGTAGGAGGACGCGTGCGCGGCCTTCGAGGCGAGGGGCTTCGCCGTGCATGAGGTCGCCACCTCCGACTCGGGCGCTGGGGCTCTGGGAGCGTTGTTGGGCGGCCGTCGTCGGCGCACGAGGCCGACGGCGACGCGCTTCTGGCGGGCGCCCGGGGCGCCATGCTGGCTCTGGCTGGGCGACGCCCCGCGGCAGGTCGGCAGGTCGCGGTCGCGCTCGGCCGCGCCGCCTTCCGCGGGCTCGTTCGGCGCGAGACGCCGGCGGCCGTTGACCACCCTCGCTTCCAAACTGGAACCAAATCATGCCAAACTGCCCTCGGGGAAGTCGGCTGCGACCACTTCGAACGGCCCGCGATCGATTCATTCGACGGCTTCGCCTGCCTACGAGCGAAGTTTGCGAGCGAGCCTTGCCTGAATGCGTAGGTGTGCTGGACATTTTCGGCACGGCGGGCCCAGCGCATGGCGCCGCCGCGCGCGGGGGCGGCGGCGCGGCTGGTCGATCTAGCACGGCGCCAAGGCGGTCTGGTATTATACAATTTGTTTCCTGGTATAATGCAGAGTTGTGCCGGCATCGTACCAATTTTTTCCGGCGCGGTGCCAAATATCATTCGGGGTCGCCCGCGCGCGTGGAAACATTGCGTTTCGTTGCGTTTGGTATAGTGCCAAGTGCCTTTGGTACAGTGCCAATTTTTTCCCGGCACTATGCAAAGTTTTCCCGGCGCCCTACCAAGTTTCCCCGGTAGTAAACCGAGTTGTCCCAGTATTGTGCAAAGTTTTCCCGGTGTTGTACCTATGTGTCCCCCTTTTTGTCGGGAGGCCGCCAAAATTTCGGAGCGCCTGGGCGGGGCGACGGAGGTTGGACGCGATTCCGGCGGCAATTGCGGGAGAGGGCTGGCGGGGGGGGGGGCGAGGATATGGCCGAAATTCAATTCCGCACCGCGCGCCCCATGGCGACGAGGCGCATGGCGCGACTTGGTTTTCCGTGGAAGCGAAAGCGAGGTAGGACAATTCGCCTTTCTTCCCGAGTCCCGGAGGCCAGCGGGGAGAAGAGGCGCCAGGGCCGCGACCCGACTCGCCGGACGGCCGAACCCATCGGGCGCCGAGCTGCGGGGCGCGATGAGACAGCCGCGGGCGCTGCTTTAGTCGGGCCCTCGCTTCGCAGGGGCCTCGAGCTCCGAGGGCGAAGACGAAACCTCGCCAGCTCCACTTGCGACGCCCTCCGTTCGACAGCGCGCCGCCCCTCCGAAGAAGAAGGGCGCGCTGACCAAGCTGCTCGGGCGCCCTTCGCCCCCCGAGTTGCCCCGCCTCACCGCGGGGGAGCGCGCGGCGGCGAGGCCTCGAACAGAGGCGCAGCGCGCGCGGGGGGCGCGCCAGTTCGGCATCTTGGCAAGCGCGAAGCGCCTCGCGGACATCCCGTTGGAGACCTTGGGCGATAAGCTTGTTCAGCGCATCGATCGGCTGATCAGGCGTGGCGTCGCCGCGGCTCGCAGCGCGAAGCTGCTCGCAGGCGCGGCGCGCGCTCGGCCCCCCCGCGCATTGCGGCGCAGTTGGCGGGCTCTGCAGGGTCGGCAGAAGCTGCGCCCTTCGACGTCTCGGCTTCCCGAGGCCTTGCCCGCGCGGCGCGCTGCGGTGGGCGGCTCGTGCACGATGGGTCGCTTCGACGTGGCGATGTTGGGTTGCCTCATGTGGGGCACCTACGCGCGTCCGATCCATCGCGCGGCGCTCGAGCCCGAGCTTCTGCATGCCACCGGCCGCGTCGCCACCTGATAGACGCGCATGCTAAATCCAGAGATTGAGGGCGCCCCCTCGAACTCGACGCGGCTATCGATCTGGGCCGTGCATGGCGGGGGGGGCTGGCGCCCGTGCTGGAGGCCCTCAAGGCCAACCCCCCAGGGCGGGGGATCCGGCAGTTCAGCTACCCTCAGACGGCAGCCTCGATTCAGGAGGTGGCGAGGGACCTGGGTTTCAATGGTCTACCAGACAAGGCGCGGCGGCGCCAGCGCCGACGCGGCCACTCGGCGGCGAACGTTGGCCGAGGTCAAGAAGAAAGGCGGCTGGAAGTCAGGTCGCTCCGTTGCGAGGCGCGAGAAGGACCCCGCCCCGGCCCGGCTTGGATGGCTAACCCCAGATGGCGCAGGCCCCGCGCCGAGCAGCGCGAGGAACAGTTATCGGCGAGATTGCTGCGCGGCCAGGTGCTGCCAAAGCCCGCTTTCCACGTCGCATGAATGAAAGACGACTGCTTGTGCTGCTCAATGGAAATCGGTTTATTCCTACTTCGCAAATAGCGAGTTCTGGCTTTCTCGCCAGGTGTTTATCTGTTGCAGATCTATATGCTTGCGCGTCTTTCCGATTGTGATCTGACATGGGGCAGGGCAAGATTGGCGCGTTCTGTCTGTCTGTGGACGCCCTTGCTCTCGCCGCCGCCCTTGTTCGACTCGCGTCCGAAGCTGGTGGGTTGGAGCTGCCGTCGGCCGTCAGTTGCTTTTTCATCAGTACGCAGGAAGCCCGCAAGTCTTATGTCATGTTCCCTCGCTTGAATACTCGTTTCGGCTCGCAGATGCGCGCGCGCAGAGGGGTGCCCAGGCTGACTGCGACATCCCTGGCCTGCAATATTTGCGTTGCCGACGCGAGCCGCCCGGGGCTGAGGCGCCCTGGGGTCAGGGCCAGAGACGGGCGCGAGAAACACTTGCCCCGCCTTCGCCCATCCGAATTAACCCGCAGTTTTCAGCAGGCCGTTGCTTTCATATTGCTCAGTGCCCTTCGGGCCGCATACCTTGCGGCGTGAGAACAGCTTTTGGCTTGGGAATATGATTTGGGTGCGGGTTCAACGAGGGGCGATCATGGCGGCCGCCCTTCGATCCTCTGATCCGAGTAGCCTTGACCAGCGAGCACAGTAGAGATGGTAGTTTCCCGCCAGAAGCCAAGGGTTAGTCGTGGGAGTGCGCGCGGAGTAATGACTCTGGGGTTTGGTGCGTCGGTCCCATCGATTCACGTCGTCTGTTGCTCTTCAGTCATCCAGGCCCCTGGCCCTGTCGCACCTCCTCGCGCGCCCCCCCTTCTCCTCTTTTGCCCGGGTGTGGTTTCAACGAGTGGCGATCGTGATTGCCGCCTCTCGATCCTCGGATCCGAGTCGCTCTGACCGGCGAACGCAGTAGAGAGAATAGTTCCCGCGCAAAAACCGAGAGTCGGCCATTCAGCTTCGCCCCCCGTTTTGGTGCATTTTCTGCGCCCTCATCCAGTTCAGCCCCCAGGCCGCCCCTCAGCGGCCAGCCAGGGCCCCATGGGGAATCGCCCCGGCAAAGCATCCTCCCGTTAGCCAGGGGGCCATGTCAGGATTCGGATATAGCCGGGGCCCCGGGCACGGGGGGCCTATTGGCGATAGGGCCCCGGGGCCAGAGCGACGCGCTGGAATCCATCGTGGCGCTGCAAACAATCGGGGACACAACGATATAGACATGGAGGCTCGGAGGTCTGCGCGGATTCGTCGGATTGGCCACGAGGGCGGCGCCAGAGGCGTCGCCGGTGGACTCCAGCGCCGGCCCGAGAAATCTGCGCGGACATCAGAGTTTTGACGTTTATGTCGTTCTTCGTTTCGCCAGCGAGAACATGGGGCATTGCGCGCGAAGAGAGCGAATCATGGAGACCGCTGTCGTTTTCTTGGGCGCGCCGACGCCCAGGCGCATTAAGCGCCCGCTTCTGTCAGAACAGGGAAAACACATAAACGCAAAGGGTTCCATTTGTTTTGCGCCGGAAAGGGGCGTCGTTGAGAGGGCGCCCGGCGCAAGTGCGGGGATCGGGGTGGCGTCGGTGTTTGGAGCTGGCGGTTTGCGCGGCAAGTGCGCCCAGCTGGTCGCGCGCGCTCGGGGCGCGCGACGGGTGGAAATCAAGAGGGGAAGAATCGCACAGGCAATTATTTGTTGATTTCCCAGAAAATAATGGAACATATGGGAAGTGGGGGGAAGACAGAAACCCAGAATATGTTTGAACATATTGGGAATCCGGTTATTTGCGCGCATTTATTTGTTTTTGTGGGCCACAGAAAGGCCTGTTTCCAGCAGCTGGCAGTCCTCTGCCCGCGGGCCAGCGCAAATCGTCGCGCGCTCGCAGCGGGGCGCGGGAACGGGGGCCGGGAAGAGAGCGCGAGTCTCATTCCCAAGAAGTCCTTTCGACAGGCAGCAAGCAAGGATTTTTCTTTTCATCTGCCGCACGGCCAATCGAACGAACGAACAACTGTCTCGGCGCGCAGCGCTAGCTTCGCTTTGCGCGCATCCAGGCTTCCTTCCGTTGCTTCCATCGCTTCTTTGTCGCGCCCTCCCTCTTTTTTATCCCCCCCCTGCCTTGCCTTGCCCCGCCCCCCCTTCCTTTCCAGCTCGGAGCTGTCACTGCGAGCGCAGAGCGCGACCCACAGGGGGTTGCTGTAATTTCATTGTGCGCCACGAAGTCTCGCGCAATTCCTCTGCGCGCGGTCTGGCTGCACTGCCGGCGCGGGGCGCGCGCGCAGGAATTCCCTTCGCGCGCGATCGTTTTCGCCGCCCCCGCAAGAGCACTCGCGATTCCTTCGTGTAGAGCTTGCCTTCCTGCCTCGAGGAGCGCGCGGGGCCTGGCGCTACAATCGCAAGGCCGCGGCGCCTGGCAGTGCGATGCAGCTTCGCCCGATGCCGCGCCCAAAGCGATCCTACGTAGATTTCGGCTCTTCTGCCGAAATCGCGCTGGCAGCTGGCCAGCCACATCGCCGGCCCTGCATGCCCGCGCGCGCTACTGCGTTCTGCGGCCGCGACGCGTGCTGCTGTCGACGGATGAACAAACTGACGTTGCACGGCGGTTTGGCTGTGCCAAAGCGCAACGGAATGTTTGCTGGTAGCGGATATTGGGATCTTGTCGCCGCCGACAGCCTTGCCACAACAGCATCGTGGAACGCGGCCGTGCATCAACCCTGTTTCGGATCGCTGGGGATCCAGTGGCGTGTGTGCACATGCGTTGCACCGCTGGTGGTGCCAAAGCCCTTTGTGTGAAATTCCTTTGTGTGTTTCTTCTGGCTCCTATTCTGGGGGGCCCAGAGGCGTTGGAGCTGCGCCGGCAGCGCGGCTGGGCGTCGCTGGACCCCGAGAAGCGCGCCGAGGACCTGGATAATTCGGAGAAGGAAGGTGCTCTTGAGGTTTCTTGAGGGGGGAATCGTCAAGGGCGAGGAGGAGGAGGAAGGCAAGGAGGATGAACAGGAACGGGCGGAGGAGAAAAAAGGAAGGAAGAAGGAAACGATGAGGAGGATGTGGAAGGCAAAGAGGAGCAGGGATGCCGAGGCGGGTCGTGGGCGTCTTGACGGAGGCCGCCCGGCAGCGGGGCGGGGCCTCTTGAAGGGAATCGTTGGAGGCGCGGAGGAGGAAGGGAACGGAAAAACGAGGAAAGAGGAGGAGGGGAGGAGGAGGAGGAGGAGGAAGAGGAGGAGGAGGAGGAGGAGGAGGAGGACGAGGAGAAGTTTCGCGCTTGCGAGATGGAAAAACAGGAGGAGGAAGAGGAGGAGGAGGAGGAGGAGGAGGAGGAGGAGGAAAAGGAGGGATTCTCTAGAGGGGCGCCCCAAACCCAGTGACTTGGGCGTTGCATTTGTTTTGCGCTGGACGTTTTGGCCCTCTTTCGGGCCACCGGCCCAGCACGTATCGATCTGTCTCGAAAAATGACGCAGGATGATGGGATCTAGAGCTCTGGCTGTGATTTTCGCAACGTCGGATCTCTGGGAGGTGCCGACGCCGCTACCTTTGTCTCGTCTTCGCCTTCTCGGGCATCCTGGGAGGGCCTCACCACGGCTGTTTTGGTCCAGAAACTTGCCCTCAGAGGTCCAGGGCGCAGCGGTATCGGTACCTTCCGGCTCCTTTAGGAGCACGCGTTGGAACAGCGGCAGCAGCGCGGGTGGGCGTCCCTGGACCCCGCCGAGCGCGCGGAGGCCCGTTTCTTGCCCCCTCGATCCGTGTCCTCGGTCTCCTCCTCCGCGATCATAGATCCGTTCTCCCCTTCCTCCTCCTCCGCGTCCTCCTCCTCCTCCTCCTCCTCCTCCTCCTCCTCCGCCTCCTCGTCCTCGATTTTGTTGTCCTCCTCCTCCTCCTCCTCCTCTTCCTCCTCCTCCTCCTCCTCCTCTTCGTCGTCGTCTTCCTTAACCAGTGTGGCTCATGGGGCCTGGTCCTTAACTCCCCGACCTCTTTCGAGGCGCTTGGTGGCCTTGCACCAAAGGCGGGCCGCGGTCGCGTCCCCTGGCCTTCAGCGGCCTCCCCCCCTCGGCTCCCAGCCTGCGCCGCTCTTATCCTTTCCCCCCTCTCGCCACGGAGGAAATGCGCCAGACCATGCCAAAGCCTGGACGGGTTCCAGCTCCGACTTCCCCAAAGGGGGAGCGGAGGTAGCAGCGGCCGCTCCGATAGCCCGCCGGGCCACAGCATGCTGGCCGCCCTGGAAAATAAGTCCAGTCATTCTCATGCAACGTGGACTCTCTCACCCATCAGTTGGATCTCCATGGGGTAGAGTTCAGACGTCTAGGGCCAGATGGCGCAGGCAACGAAAAACTCAGAGATTGGAGGCAGCGCGTGCAGAATTCGCGAAACACGATGTAAACTTTCGCAACAATTCGTGTCATCCTGGAGCAGGTCGATATGCCGGCCATGTAGGGTCGTGAGATCGCTCAGCGTGATACGAGGAATGTGGACATGGGGTTCACTGATACGATAGCAGCGTTGAGGGAAACTCAAAACGGCGGCGCCGTCACACCTGATTCATATATATATATATATATATATATATATATATATATATATCGTTCGGCAGATTCGTCGTCGCGTGCAGATAGGCAAGACAGACCGCGCCCGCAGCGACCGACAGACTAGAAGGAGGGCCCCGGCTTGAAGCTACCCCCCTCCCACCCCCGTTGCGAAAAGGAGGGGGGGGGTCGGACCCCCCCCCCTCCCCCCCTGGTCGCGGCCGAAAAAGGGGCGCACTTCGAAGCTGCCCCCCCCCGCCCCCCCCCCCCCATTTCTGGAACCGGAGGTCAGCCCGGGCCCCCCCTTCGAAAAGCGGGGGTGGGCCTTGGAAGCCACCCCCCATTTGTTTCGCGACCTGAAATGGCGGGGGGGTTCGAAGCCACCCCCCATCCTTTTTTCCGCGCTTTTTCTGTGGAGCCGGAGGTCAGCCCCGGATCCTCCCTTTGAAAGGCCTTGAGACTCCAAGGTTGCTTAATAACGCGGGGTCGACTAATAAGACAAATTTATGATTTTCACGGGGCGAATTTTAATGCAACCCAGGATTTTTGAGTGGGTCGATGATGTTTTCTTCAAGCGCATCGTTCTTGGATCCCCTGCGTGAGAGGCATCGCATATCATCCGCACATGCGGGATTCGTAGCAGCGAAGGCTCGATGGGCATCTCGCTTTCTTTGTTCGCGCGTTTCGCGCGGGCGTGGCCAACGCGACCGATCGCGGCGCCAGGCGGACGTCCACGGTCAGCGCTGATCGGTTGCAGGCGCCGGTGAAACAGCACATCGGCTTGATCGAGCGTTGCCACCTGCAGGAGGGCATGGGTGAGTTCCTGAGGAACGACATGCCTTTCCCCCTTCCGCTTGAAGAGCATGCCAAGCGAATCAATTAGAAGAGCCCCCACGACGTTGTGACGCAGCAGAAGCCGAACATGCACCGGGACGAGCGCAGGCGTTTCTGCCAGGAGGTGTCGAATTCATTCAGCCGCGCGCGCAGCAAATTCTACTTTGCGATGACGGGGGCGAAGATGAATCCGCGCGTGAAGTTGCTGGGCGACGCCATGGTTTGAAGCGCGGAAGGGAGGGCCCGAGCACAGTGGGATCCACAGGCGAGCGCGCCGACAGCAGCTCCGACCTGGAGGTCCCGCCCGTCGCCGCGTCGCCCAGCGCCCCCGCGGCCGCCGCGTCGCCCAGCGCCCCCGCGTCTTTGAGCGGGGACTGCAGGGGCGACGCCATCAAGAACGCGTTCGGCATCGGCCCCCGTCCGAAGCCGAAGAGGCAAAAGGTTGCCATCGGCCCCGCGATGGCGTTCTCGTCGCAGGACGTCGACACGTCGGAGGGCGAGCTCGATGAATCGCCCGCCGCGGCGGCCCCGATGGTGGATCGACCGGGGGGGGGGGGGGGGGGGGGGGAGGGGGGGGGGGGGGGGGGGGGGGGGGGGGGGGGGGGGGGGCGCACTAGGGTTGCGATGGTGACGGTTGACGGAGACGGCGAGACATATGACGACAAGGATTGCGACGCGGCGGGCGCGATGGTGGGCGCGGCGGCGACGACGATGGCGACGGCGACGGCGGCCGCGACCGCGACGCTGGCGGCGTGTCATGATGGCGGCGCGCCGCAGCCTTGGAACGCATTATAGCCGCGTGAGTAGCACGCACCACGTAGCCCCAGTTGGATCGCCGCCGCCCCAGGGGCGAGCCGCGCAGAAGCAGCGAGGCCCATCAGTCCAGGGCCACCGAGGCCACCTACCAATCCAGGGCCAAGGATTTTCCAGTATCAGGGCTACGACGTCGAAGACGTCGAGGTGGCCACCTTTGCTCTGGCGGCCCGCCAGCGCGCGCGCAGGGCGAAGATCCGGCGCGCGCCTTGAGCGCCTTGCCGCGAGCCTCATCAGCGGCGCAAAGTTCTTGGCCTCAGCGAGCGGGGCCAGCAATCGCCAGCGCGGGGCTGGGAGACGAAGGGGCGGGCGCAAAGAAGTTTTAGAGGCGCTGCCAGTGGGGCTAACCAGCGCCGCCCAGAGCGCGACAAAACTAACGAATCGAAGCCCCAATCCTCTTGACTCCGAACTTCGTCTAATCAGTGACAAGGAAGCAGCGATCCTGGCCAACGTAATCCAGGGCGGCCCCGGGCCTGGAGTTGGGAGCTGCTAGGTCCGCGGGGGCGGCGACGACGACGATTCGGGGGGCTGCTGCTGCCGCCGCTGCTGCTGCTGCGACAACAGCTATAACGATTGCACATCCCACTGGTTCCAACGCTCACGATGGTTTTTGTGCCACTACGATTATTACAACGACGACGACGACGATTGCTATTAATATTACGACGAAGACGACGGCTACTACTATTATTATTACCACTACTACAACAATTACTACTACTACTACTACTACTTCTTCTACTACTACTACTACTACTACCGCTACTCTCACTACTACTACTACGACTACTTCTACTACTTCTACTACTACTACTACTACTACCACCAGGACTACTATCACTAGCACCACTATGACTACGACGACTTCATCTTCCACCACTACTACTACTACTACTACTACTACTACTACTACTACTACTACTGCTGCTACTACTACTACTACTACTACTACTAGTACTACTGCAAATTGTTCCACTGCTACTATTACTGCGACTACTACTACTACTACGACGACGACGACGACTACTACTACGACTACTACTACCACCACTACTACTACTACTACTACTACTACTACTACTACTACTACTACGACTACTTCTACAACTACTACTACTACTACTACTTTTTCTTCTTCAGGTTGTTTTCTTGTAATACAGTCACTACAACTGCTTCTGCCGCCGCTGCTGCCGTTGCATGCTGCGCCAACTTCCCCATTCGAACTCACTCCAGCTTCTGCCCGAGCCCTCAGCGACGGACGCGCCAGATCATCGCGCGCCTCGCGTGCAATTAGCCCCGCGCGCGTTGAGCCCCAGGTGCCGAACGCTCGCGGGCTAGGTGCAGAATAGCACGGCTAGACCATCCTTTCGGCGACGTCCGATCCTTTTCCTCTTCCTACTCTTCCCCGTCTCCCTCCCCCCCCCCCCCTTCTCCTCCGCTTCCTCCTCCTCCTCCTCCCTCCTCCTCCTCCCCCCCCCCCCCCCCCCCCCTCCTCCCGCCCCCCCCCACCCCCCCTCCTCCGCGCCTCTCTCGCGCCCTCTTCGGGGGCGGGGGGGCGCGTGAGACAGCGCGGTTTTCCGGGGCCCATCCCGCCCCGTCGTTCGGGGCGGAATGGGCCGCGGCGACGGGGGGCCTGCAGGGGGCCGAACGCGGGGAGGGCGCCGTTTTCGCCTTTGGCCCCCCCCCCGCCCCCTTCCTTTTCCTCGTCTTCCCTTTCTTCCTTCTCCTCGATTCGGGCCCTCCTCGTCTTTGTCTCCCTTCCTCCTCCTCCTCCGCCCTCT